TATCCCTTGGAAAATTCCTTGCTGAATTTTATCCTATCCTTTGGAATTTCTTTTCCATTATTGACCCTCCACAGGGGGCCATTGGAAATTCCACATGTCCTCAATAGGGGTGGGGTGGGGGGTGCGGATTAATAATGCGATCAGCCATTGTTCTCTATATAATCACAAATTATATAACGTTTACGTCTTGATCAATTCCAAGTATGACCACCAATCAACCAACCCCTCCCCCTCCCATTATGCAACTATATTTATTACTTTGAGTGGTTCAACACTTCAACAAAATGAACAAATTTCGGGTGGGAGTTAGGGGGGGGGGGTCAGTCACGGTTGGAACTGATTAGGACATAAATTACAATACCTTAAATCGCACCATCATCGTTGCTGGCAGTTCTGTCTTCTTCTTCCTCACAAAAACAATTTAACCCATCTTTCATTTTGATGTAATTTGGCACCCTGGTCAGCAAGCAGTTTCACTTGCTCGAAGGAATACTCTTGAGAAGTAACTGGTATACTCAATTTACGACGATTCGCACGAAGAAACACAAAATCATTGTTCCTAACCAAGGGATATTTCAGTCTAATTGCCTCACCAATTTTTGCTCGAATGTTTGATTTACTGTCTGTGGTCATCAGATTAACAAATCCTCTAAGCATGATGTTATTGCTGGTAATCATGTATTTGTCGCACTCATCTTCATCGCCATAGTTTGTCAAGGCAAACTCGAAAGGCTTCTGCTGATCATTGACATTGTTCTTTTTCGGATTTTTTGCTTCGCTACTACCAGTTGCAGGAGAAGCTGATCTTGGGGAAGCTCACAAGCGTTCTCGTTGATTTAGGCGAGAACACAATCTTGCCATCGTGGACCGCTGCAGCATTAACCATGCTCGACCGACTGTATCCGCAACCGTGTTGTTGTCGACAGTTGAGGGTGAGCTGGTTGAAGAGCTAGATTACCTTGTTGGTGGCTCATCAGAATTAGATAAAATGCGATTGACAATATTTGAACATTCTCCGAGCGAAGACGCGAGTTGTTTTAATTGATCACCGTCTATATTAAACTATCCAAATATAAACAAATATACAAAATGTTGTGTTTCATGACTTTACCGCCATGGTGCCATTTCCAAAATGGCGGCAAACTTACTAAGTTCCCGGATGTACATTGGTAAGTTCCCGGATGTACATTGGTAAGTTCCCGGATGTAAAGTGTGCTAACGTTTCCGGTTTACGTTCATTGAATTGAAGTTGAATTTTCATTGCATTGAAGTTGAATTTTCATTGCTTTGAAGTTGAATTTTCATTGAATTGAAGTTGAATTTTCATTGAATTGAAGATGAATTTTCATTGAATTGAAGTTGAATTTTCATTGAATTGAAGTTGAATTTTCATTGAATTGAAGTTGAATTTTCATTGAATTGAAGTTGAATTTTCGTTGAATTGAAGTTGAATTTTCGTTGAATTGGAGTTGAATTTTCATTGAATTGAAGTTGAATTTTCATTGAATTGAAGTTGAATTTCCATTGAATTGAAGTTGAATTTTCATTGAATTGAAGTTGAATTTTCATTGAATTGAAGTTGAATTTTCATCGAAATTGAAGTTGAATTTTCATCGAAATTGAATTTTGATTGAATTGACGTTGAATTTTCCATTGAATTGACGTTGAATGTGTTTATTGAATATTGCTACAGTTGGCTTGCCATACTGTCACACAAAATACTGGAAAATACCGCAACATTTTTGTAAAGAGGCTTTTAACATGGTATACAAGCTAAACTTTAGTAGTATATTAGTTTCTTCTCTGGTTCTAACTTTTGAGATATTGCCATTAAAAAATGGCATATTTTTTGCTTAGTTGGGAAAGCGAGTTTTAGGCTGTATTTGAAAGATTTATTTTATAAAAATGTTGACAATACACAATGAACTCCACACATAGTCAAAATTTATATGCATTTTACAACATATAACGAAAAAGCGTAAATCAGAGTTTTGTAGGGTCCATAGCGGACTTTTCAATTTACCTAAATATTGCCAAATTTTCAGCAACCGGAAATGCCAATTAAGGTGTTCAGTTTTGGTGGAGGGGGGAAGGCCATATCGAAAGATATAGCAAAATGTGTAAGCACCATATTAACGTCGTATGAAATACTTTTTAACCACAAGGTTTGAAGGTCAAATATTTTCTGAACAAATATCCAGTGGACCACTCTTACAGAGACGGCATCTTAATCCCAAACAGCAGTGCAATTTTCTGTAATCACAGTGCAATTTTTTGTAATCACAGATTGGGCGTACATTTACAACATAATTGACCCCCTGTTCAATGTTATGTGTGGAAATACCTGTGCAAAACTTCCTTGCCAGCAACCCAACGTTATTTTGAGTGGGGGAGGGAGAGATCAGTGCTTTATGCTGAACAGTATTTGGAAATGCACAGATCTGTATATATTATATCACCATCCAAAAACATTTTGTCACTGATTGTAGGCAGCTGGCAGAATATTGTATAATAAAGCCTGTTTTCCACTAGAAATATGAGCTCTCAGCTGGAACTAATTAGATTTTCAATCAATTCTTTTCAATTTAAACAATAGAAGAAATTCGCTAGTGGAAAAAAGGCTTAAATATCAAGTTTTTGTTACATGTTCAGCCTTGATTGAAAAGTTTAAATTTGCCAAGAAACTGAACAAGTGTTTACCAATTATTTAGCTGGTTGCCTTTTATGCTGAACAGTATTTCAAAATGTGCAGATATGTATATATTATATCACTGTCCAGAAACCTTTTGTCACTGATTGTAGATAGGGTGGATTAACTGGCAGTGCTCTTCCGCTAACATATAAAGTTCAGGGGCGGATCCAGGGGGTATCGAGTGTAGCTCAAGATACGGTCAGATTTTTCCGATTATGGATACTAAAATAGTTTGGGGGGGAAAATTCACCATTATATCTTCATGCAATTCATTTCTGTTTACAAAAATAGTGAAAATTTGAGTTTACTAAGATGAACGAGGGCAAAGTCTTTCGTAAATTTTAAAATTCACAGCTCTAAATGTAACAGCGTGTTTTTAAAGCATTGAATTACTTTCGACGAAGATGAGCTGAGAGCTTTCCAAAAGCATAACCCGAGGTTACGTAACCCGATGGGAAAAGTGTTTTTAAATGCGTCTGTGGTGTTCTGATACAGTCTGCAGTTCAAATGTTAATAAAAGTAGTAACTTAATGAGGTATATAGATACCTTGGAGGTTATTCAGCCAATCACAGGACGTGTAACTATGACGTTGGATACCCTCTGATACTGTGGCTGTATTTTGATCATGCAAGAAATGAAATAATCGTGAACTGCTCGGAAACTTCGTCTGATTATTGCTAACAGCTGCATTTCTTCTAACGTAACTAAGTGAGTGATGGCCTTACATAATTTCAGAAAACGTCTTGAAATAACACTTTATATTAGTGTATTGGATGCCAATTAGAACAAGACTATTACGAAAAGGATATATCCGAAGGAACTGAAGTTATGTTCGGCGAAAGGTATGGCTAGTTTACATTGTTCGAGAAAATTGAGTGATATATATGATATTGCTTGACCTCTCAAAGTTCATAAATCGCTATATTGACTAAAACTATTGTTAGGAATTAGGAGATATTCTTTCAATGAACCGAACGGTAGTATTTTTGTTTTCATATCATTCGCCTAACCAAAGATATTAATCTGCAAAGTCATATTGCAGCATTGCACATGCAATATGTTATTAATTTAAATAGGGACCGGTCGAGAATATTAAATGTACTCAGCTGCGAAAGCTGACTTTTCTATGTCAAAACACACCCGGCCATGTTTCATGAAACAGAAACTTGAACACTGATACCAAGAAGAGTTAATGTGTGTTTTTCTTTGTTACTTTGTGTTTAAAATATGACATTGTTAAGGCCAAATTTTAGGCCAGAATCATGGGCTTAGAACGCAGGAAATGGCATTTTTGGGGTTCAAATTTCAAAAAATTTCCAGGGGGGGCATACCCCCAGACCTCCCTATTTATGCAAAACCTACGAATATGATACGGTCACATTTTAAGCTAGATCCACCACTGATTAGTTGTCTGGCCTTAGACAAAGTAAAATAAGTAGGCACATTTCCAGTCAATGAGTTAACAACAGACAATGGAAGATAGTCTTGTTAACCCATTAACTGGCAGTACTCTTCCCCTGATGAGTAAATTACTCTGGCGCTAGATCAAGTGAAATACTAGATAGTAGATGCAATAGGCTGCATTGCCAGCCAATGGGTTTATAAAAGGAGACACTGGCAGATATTTTTTTAAACCATTAACTAGCAGTACTTTTCCCCTGATGAATAATATTGTCTGGCTTTAGACATAGTAAAATAATCTGGTGTTAATAGACAGAGTAAAATGAAAATTCTACAAATGGAATTACCTGCAGTGTAACCGAGGTTCTCCGAATACAATGTTCAGCACAGAGGGATTCATTCCTGTGCTAGTTTCCAGGTCACCACGCTTTAAAGCCATTGTTATGCTAATCACTATAGGTAGACAACTGCCCAAGCTGCCTTCGTTTGCCAGTCTTTCCGGAACATACTCGAAAAATGCAATGTTTGTGGCACCTGGTGGCCCATGTAAGAAGAGTAAACTACAAATATGAAGAACAAAAAGGAGGGAAGGAAATTAATCCCCCTGTGCTCAACATGGTATTCAGACATCCTCGTTCCCAGGGCTTCTCGGCTGCCTGCGTTGCCGTAAGCCCTGGGACAAGCCGAACCGGAACACCACAAATTCTGGTGTTTTCCAGAAGTAAACGCGCTCTGCTGCAAACTAAAAATAAGCTGAATAAGCACTAATTTTTACTGAGGAGTGGAGACGTGTTGGTGAGCAGAAAATATTGGATTTTTCTTTTGTTTCGATGTATTTTCCACCATCAAGGGAATATGTGCAGACCGCCTAATGGAATTATACATATTGGGGTTTTATATTTCGTTATATCGTTAATATTCATCAAAATACAACCATATTTCGGTCTCATATTACATGTATCAATTTTCATGCATATATGATGTAAACATGATCGAGTCGAAATGTGCTCGAAGTGGTTGCTGTGTTTCAAAACATCATGGGTTCTTGTACAGATGACCTGTTTCAACACACGCTTGTAAAGTCACTTCAAAGACTGGACAAAGCCAGACTGGAAATTAAAGAGAAGTAATTCGAATCTTTATCGTCTATCGTATGTTGTATAAAGGAACAAGAACGACATGTGACATGTCTAAACGGCGGTGTGTGTCTGTTTACTGGGTTACAACAACAGCAATAACAATGAATCACCTAACATTTCAAGAAAATATAAATTATAGATAGATGTCATGCATGACCCCACGAGTTTTGGATTTGAGTTGCTAGATTATGTATACAAAATCATGTGTCCGTAAATTTTGGAAAAAAAGCACAAGGTGTTTGTTTGGCCATATGCCCATCATGTAGTATGAATATTGAACACCGTTTTATATAGCACGTTTAAAACGTTATTTCCATGCCAGATAATCCTGAATCCTTCACCGATTACGTGCCTGGCAAATGAAGAAAAATAATTATGTCAAATAATTAACCTAAAGCCTGGTTCACACATGCCTGCGGTATGCCTGCACTGTCATTGTTTACAGCTGTTACATTCTTTTGTTGTTTACATTCTTTTGTGAATTATTTGGTTGAACTGCTAACAACAATAGCCCGCTGACACACATATATGTGAACCAGGCTTAATATGTCTTTGGCC